TGAAAACAACCATGCCCTTTTTTAGCTGGGCTTGATATGCAACACCTGCCAGCCATGAAAATCATGGGGTAACCTCAGTCTAGTTACGTTTCTTAGTCTAAAGTATTTCACTGGGTTTTTTCGAAGCATGAAGGGAGAGAGGCATGTATACCACTTGGTGCTTGCTGGAGGAAAGGGAGCTAAAGATGCAACAAATAAATAAGTAAATAAACAAAATAACAAAGGGAATGCATAACAGATATCCAAAATAATAGCCACATACTTAGTTTCCTATCTCAGTGTCTACTATAAACTGGTCTGCATGAGCAGCCCAGTCCAATGCATATTTACTCATACCTGAATCTCACTAAGGTCAACGAGACTTCCTTTCTGTTACGTTCACATAAGCCTTAATGGTATATTGTGGACCACTTTGCCCTACCTTCCAACAAAGTTGAGAACAGTTGCCTTTCTGGGCTGCGATTCCCAGAATATCCCAGCTATTACTCCCATAACTATCGTAATCAAACAGGTCCCCCCGTCCTATCTCAGGCAATGCTCTCTTAGATGAGGTTGCAGGCCAGCTAGGAGACTTGAAGAAAGGCAGCTGAGGCAGAGGAAAATGTTCTGAGTAATATCTTTGATAGTTCCTGTGAGTCAAAGCAGAGGGTACGTTTATCAGGCGTTTTGCAGATATGCCTGTTAGATAATTTTGCCCATCTCTGTACCTTGCATTCAGCGTGAAGTGTTTTGTGATTGGTCATTGGAAGGTAAGCATAGTCTTAGTTTGCCTTTCTGCTCACTGCGATGCATATCTCTGAGAAAGTCCCATTGTGGGAAGGAAAACTGAGTAATCTGTACTGTATCAACATGCCTTTTAACATCTGGTTTGACTGTTAACAAAGGCCTGTTTTACATCTGAGTAGCTTGCTTCCTGCTCAAAAGTCAGTCCTTTCTGTATCTATTGACTCCCAAGGCACTCTCAGAATATGGCTGGTTTGGTTTCAGGAAGTCCCATTATGGGAAGGAAAACTGAGTAATCTGTACTGCATCAACATGCCTTTTAACATCTAGTTTGACTGTTAATGAAGGCCTGTTTTACATCTGAGTAGCTGGCTTCCTGCTCAAAAGTCAGTCCTTTCCGTATCTATTGACTCCCAAGGCACTCTCAGAATATGACTGGTTGGTTTCCATGACCCCCACCCTCAAATTTCCTATATTTTATTTCCTGAAAAAGTCCTCTTCCATTCTCTATTCACCGTGTATGGATTGGTAATGGAGACACAAGAGTCCGAGGGGGGAGGTTAACTCTAAAAATGGGGAAATTGTCTCCCAAACCACCTAGAATTCCTTTGTCCGACACAAAGGGATTCTGAACCTTTAAAAAAAAATTGGGATGTGGGAATATTCAGGGCCACCAGGGGCTGCGAGGGCTACATGTGGTTTGTGGATGGCATTGTGACCATTATTGCCTCAAGGAATGGCAGTGTAACATCTCCAGGATCAGGAGGTGATAGAGGAGTGATTAAACTGCATTACTACAGTCAAAGATTCTGCTCACAATCTGAGTTCAGTCTTAACATGCTCAACTAGCCATCTCAAGCTTTACTCAGCCTTCCATCCTTCTAAGGTTGGTAAATTGAGTACATAGCTCATGGGGGAGGGGTAATATATAGCCTGCATAATTAAACTGTAACCCTCTCAAATTCTTTAAGTACTATGGGGTGATATATATATAAGCAGCATACTTTGCTTCCTGATGTGAAAGGACTTTTTGGAAAGAGGCTTCAACCATAGTTAGTGCTAAGGACACGTCCCTCTCTTGGTCTGACACATGTTCTGAATTTCCACTTTAAACCCCTGAACCAGGGAGGCAGTAAAGAGCCCAGGGGGTGTCACCCCCCAAAAAGCCCCACCCCTGTCCATTCCCTAGAGCTATGGCTTGAAAAGGAAAAGAGCCCCATGCTGTTTCTTCTTCATCACAGGTCGGTGCATCAGCCGAAACTTGGAATGCAATGGAGAAAATGACTGTGAGGACAATTCAGATGAAAGGAACTGCCGACGAGTACAGTCCTTGTGTAACAGAAGGCACGAGAGCATTCCTGGGGCACAATTAATGGGGCATGGGTGAGTTATTCTTAGATTTCTTTAGTTATGGCATTGGTAATTATGTGGGGAAATAATAGTTTCATTTATGGACTGGTCTCAAAAAGGAAAGAAATAAAAGAAGGTGGGAAAGCTTGTTTGAAGAGAACAAGCTTTCCCCTTCCTGTTATTTCCTGGTAACTTTGGATGAAGGCCCATGTTAAAACATTTTAATAGTGACAGCAGTAGATGTACTGGTAGTCATTTAAATCAAAATTCTCCCCCAGTTATTGTATGCAGATGGTCTGATTCATTACTGCCACTGAAAAAGGGAAGATTATGCAGATGGCCATTTGCTGGGAGCATATTTTGATTATATATATAAAATGTTTTGTGAGGCATTCTTACCCTTTGTTTTCCCAGCCATTCAGATAGACCCCTGCTACCTTTACCAGTGATTTGGAAGCAACTGTGAGGTAACTTTATATAGATAGAAAATGGCAGTGGAGAGAAAAGGAAGGAACTAATGTTGGTGGAAAGCTTACTCTTTTCCCCAAACTTCCCCATTTTCCTGTGCTTGCTCACTTTCCTACTTGATAACAGCTACTGTGGTCTTAATTGACTAGATAGGCGGGATATAAACAAACAAACAAACAAACAAACAAACAAACAAACAAACAAACAAACAAACAAACAAAATAATAATAATAATAATAATGATGATGATGATGATGATGATGATGATGATGATGATGATGATGATGATGATGATGATGATGATGATGATGTGGTCCCATTGCTAATAGTAGCAGTGGGAAAGCAGCCAACTCGGAGAGACTGGTTGGGGTAGGAAAGGCTGTGGTGTCACGTCAATTTTGATTCATCATGACCTTTCCACACTCTTGTGTGTAGAGTACTTAAATGTGGTTTATCATTCTCTTCTTCTGGGCTGTGGGACTGAGCAGTTTGCCCAAGGCTATCAAGGCTGGCTGTTCTGCTGTGATGCACAGTGGAGAATTGAACTCTCAACGTCTGGCTCCACAAAAAAATACCTAACTCACTGAGCTGTTTAGCCAGCTTACTTATGTGCTTCCGATGCAATTCTAACTTGTAGCAACCTGTCTCAGGTTTTCCTCGGTGTTCTGTTTCCTCCTGATATGTATGTTCAGGCACACTTTCTTCATTTATTCTTGAACAAAGTCATTTGGCAGTGTAAGGACTGACAAGTTAGCCCCATTGGTGCTTTGTGTGGAAAGTTAAGCTTCCGGAAATATTGTCTTTCTTCAGATTTAACCTTCTGGCAGGAGAGAATCGAGGAGAAGTCCTCGGTAATTCTTTCTATGGGGGCAAATGCACACTCATCAGAAGCAATGACACAAGGAAAATATTCCGTGTTCCTGCAAACTTGGAAACGATAAGCTTTCAGGTAATGATAAAAAGATACTACACTTAAAGATGACTGGCTTATAACTATTATATGGAAAGTTTTCAGTGACTAATGGTGATGTGATTTTTGTTGGTTTTTTTTTTAACTACAACACCCAAAATTCTGCTGAAATTGTTATTTAATTCCCCCACCCCTAACCCATGATTTCAAACGTTTGGGAACTGATGTGCCACAGGCATTGACTATGACCCTGGTCACACGAGGGAAATGCTGTGTATTTACTCACCAGTTATGTCAAGTTTTTTTTCCTGGTCACACGACTGAATTGTGGTCACATGGTTTATATCCCAGGAACTATATATACATCAGAAATATAAAATGTGTGTGTGTGTGTGTGTGTCTGTGTGTCTGTGTGTGTGTGTGTTTGTGTACACAGACACACATATATTTTATATTTCTGATGTGTATATATAGTTCTTAGGACGTTTGTCCTGGGATATGAACCATGTGACCACAATTCAGTACAATATAGGTATGGAAAGCATTGGAATAACTAGAAAACATTTCCCTTGTGTGACCAGGGCCTATGTCTACTGCTGGTATCCGGTCCCTGGCAGATTGATTTTTCCTTGAATGACTGTGACTTTATTTTTAAAAAGTTTCCTCCTTCGTGCTTTGAGGAGCTTGTGGGGTGTTTGTCTGGGTCAAAAAGAAAAGAAAAGAAAAGAAAAGCCCACTTAGTTTAGAAGTGGTGCTTCTTACCTGGAGAAAGATGTCTGCATGAGCTTTTCTTACCTCCATATTTTGAAAATAAGCTTGCTTTATTTTGTGGTTGGTCATTCAGAGATAAAGACAAACATTATGTGCTAGCCTAATTTGTGGACAACGCTTGGTGGAATGTAGTCATAGGAGGACTTTATGTGATACCAGCTGTTAATTATGAGATAAGTATCTTGGGTAGCTTGATCCCAAGCCTCAACATTATGGCCTTTCTTAACGAAGTGAATATATCATTAAATCGGAGATCCGTATTTTACCTCTCCTTAGGTAGAGAATAAAGAAGATGAGGTGGTGTCTGATTTTTACAAAAGCTTACTCCCCCTAGAATCTGAGACCTCTAGACACACATCTCACTCCGGCTCTAGCAGAAGATCTTCTGGAATCCCATTCCTATTCTCCAAGAAAAAGAAAGTCAAGATCACGTCCTCGTCCTCCTTCAAGGAAGCTGTGAAAGCTTCCTATAAAAAGGTATTTTTCATCTTCTCATGCTGTCTTCCTGCCACGGTCATTATATTATCCAGCAAACACAAAAACATTTCTGTGTGGCATCCCTTGCATTTTGGGAGCGCAGAAAATGGCATTGTGAAATGTCTGTCAATAACAATTATTGCTTTAGAATGAAGGAGGAAGGATCAGGCTGCTGGGAAGGGAAAATACAGAGATGATTTTTCAAATACAGACTTTTGATTTCTCCTTTTAAAAGACTTCTGGTGCTACAATTAGATTTCTCAAACCCTGTGAAGCCACCGACTAGGTGTAAGTATGATCCTCCTTCATCTAATGATGACTGATGTAGTAGGAGTGATAGAGGACATTAGATATTTTACAGCGGGGGAAGTGCCACTATCATAACGTCCTTGGAGGCATGTCTGGTGAAAATGTAGCTTGCCTCATTCAGTCCAGTGTTCTTTTGCATAGTCATCTGCTTCTGTATAGTCATCATCAATACTGTATCTTAGCGCTTTAGGTGCTACCTGGCAGTTGATGAGAGCTATGGAGGTGCACTGTCCAAAGAAGTGAACTGCTGGATAGCTCAGTGGTTTAGATATCTGGATCTCCCCACTGTGCCTCAGTGATCCATAGGATTCCTTCCAGCTCTGCACTAAGATTAAAATAATAATTATTATTAAGGAGGTATGTTGGTCTACAGCAGCGTGCTGGCCTAAGGAAAGGAGAAAAAAGGGTAAAAGACTATAGCGCTTTAAGCACTATTAGTTTTGTTTTAGTGTGAGCTTAAGTGGATCAAAGGGACGTGGTGGCACTGCAGGTTAAACCGCAGAAGCCTCTGTGCTGCTCTGCTAGAAGACCAGCAGTCGTAAGATCGAATCCACAAAGCGGAGTGAGCTCTCATCGCTTGTCTCAGCTCCTGCCAACCTAGCAGTTCGAAATCATGTAAAATGCGAGCAGATAAATAGGTACCACCTCGGTGGGAAGGTAACAGCATTCCGTGTCTAGTCACACTGGCCACGTGACCACGGAAACTATCTTTGGACAAACACTGGCTCTGTGGCTTGGAGATGGGGATGAGCACCATGCCCTAGAGTCAGACACGACTGGACTAAATGTCAAGGGAAACCTTTACCTAAGTGGATCATAATTCCCTTCCTCAGACACAGGAGGGCTAATACATGTTTTTATATTTAGACATATCTGCATAATCAAGTGAAGATACAGGGAAGAGACGAAACATTAGCAATTAACCTCATCTATCTCTCTGACTTGATTTCAGGATAGGAGAAAGAACCATGTCCATTCTCTTCATTGCCTTAGAACAGGGCTCTCCAAACTACGACCCGCGGGCCACATCTGGCCCACCTCGCTTTTTTATCCAGCCTGGTGGGTGCACAAGCAGAAGTGCATGTGGGCAGGTGGGTGGGCGGGAGTGCCTGCATGTGGGTGTGTGAGCATGCGGGCATGCGGGAGTGCAGGCGTGTGGGCATTTGGGAGTGTGGGCAGGAGTGCAGGCAGGCAGGCGTGTGCGTGGATGGGCATAGGTGTGTACTTGCATGCACATTCGGTCCTCAAAAATCTGGAACATATATGTTGTAGCCCTCACTCTGAAAAGTTTGGGGACCCCTGCCTTAGAAGAATATAGCTGGAAATAATAAACACATTTTTTTAAAAAAAACCAGGCTTCTTCAAAGCATATTTTATAGGATGAGTTTGGTACAGATTTGGTTATAAATTAGATTAAGCCAACTAAAATCAATTGGATGAGTTAGTTGTGACTACTATAACTCGCATTTCAGTGCATCTAGATCCTGCCCTAAGAGGTTTAATTTAGTTATTGTACAACCTTTGTGCATTCTACCTCATGGATGGAGAGATAGATATCCTAAATGAATTCACCACAGCTAAAGTGGGACAAAAGTGTTAGGATTACAGTGTATAATATTTTAAAGATAAGCACAACAGCATTTGTTTAACAAAAGGCTAAATTCCTTTTCTCTTGTGAAATAAATCTAAGCATAATTGTTTTTACTGTGTGCAGTGTAGAGATAAGCTCTTTCTTCCTAGCAGCAGCTGCATCAAAATCCTATATTACAGCAGGAACAAGGCTGAAAAAATTATAAACAGGAAAAGTTTTAAGTAAGAAAGAAAGTTGGTGTTGTGAGGGGCATCTGGCCAATTGCAAACAGGAAATGGTGAGGGAGAATTTTTGTAACTTTCAGTTAAGGGAACTGCAAATCAATAATGTTTTAACTTAAGCCTTCCTAAACAAATGCATTTCCGTGAGATGTGATAAGGGTTCCTGGATTAGTTTACTTTAAGATTAAATGAAACACGAAATGAAATGAACAGCTCAAAGTAGCAAAATGTCTTGGGCTTTTTCTGATGTGGCTGGTTGACTTTTACTAAACCTCAACTACATCACAAGACTGTGAGGGTAAAATGGTAGAAGGAAGGAAAATATGCATCATTTTATATGACTTGGAGAAAGGATGAAATAAGAAGGTAAATCTGTACATATATGTGTGAACCGTGTGAGATCATTTTAAAAAACCCTCATCGTATATGTTATTATCCACCAGAGCCTCATTTTTCTTTTATACTTGTCTTACAGGACTCAAGTTTTATCAGGGTCCATCAGATTATTTCAGTGTTAAACTTCACTATGAAAGAGTCCAACCTTCAGCTCTCAGGCGTGTTTCTAAAAGCCCTCAACAGTCTGCCACTAGAATACAACTATCCTCTCTACAGCCGGATATTTGATGACTTTGGAACTCATTATTACACTTCTGGTTCCATGGGAGGCACCTATGATCTCCTCTATCAATACAGCGCTGAAGAACTGAAAAATTCAGGTACCTGTCCTTAGCAAGCGATTTCACTATTTTAACCGCTGATATTTTAATGGCCCTGCTGAGAAGGGAAAAACACCATCCACGATTTCAGCATATGTGGTAATCCTTATTTTAATTTTTCTTTTTCAGAAACTCTTTTTGTGAGCTAATAAACAGAATGTGTCCATGAGAATATGTTTCCAAAGTTATAAAAAAATGGTGTGGGGGGGAGGAAAGTTTAGATTTCTTGTGGATAGTTGAAAGAAAAGAATTGAAAGTGATGGAGGATAGATAACTGCAGTAGGAATCTCCAGTGTTTAGAAAAGAAACAAGTATTTGGAAAGGCATCGCTACTTAATTTTATTGGAAATGTTCCAGGTGAGGTTAAACATTTACTAGATCACTAAAACATTAAAATAAGTTGAGTTATCCATTTCCCTTGAGCCCTTCTACAGGCAAAGGTTGTTCAAGCATTAACATTAAGACAAATAGTTTAGAAACTGAGCCGGATATGGTGCCTATTGTTCTTGGAAACAGCGAAGCAAAGAGTTTGCAGATTTAGCATTGCTGGAGTTGTATTTAGAACCTCGCATGCTCTCTGTGGTTTGAATGGCAGGGACTTTTCTGGGCTGGGGTGATTATCTCTCTCTATTCAGCATAAACAAATGTTTCTTCCAGCTTTTGAATTCAAAGAGAGTCCTGCCTCTCTGCTGGTGTTCTGTCCCTTTCTTTCATTGGTTGGTGGCAGTTGTTTTGTTTGCTGTTGATCTATTTCAGGGGTCTCCAAACTACGGCCCGCGGGCCACATCTGACCTGCCTTGCCTTTTTATCTGGCCCAGCGGGCAGGCAGGTAGGTGAGCAGGCGGGTTGGAGTGTGTGTGTGGGAGGGCGGGTGAGTATGTGTACGCCCGCATGTGTGCGTGCATCTTCCTTCAGATCTTGAAAATGTGGAGCTTATATGATGTCACCTTCCCACTGAAAAATTTGGAGACCCCTGATCTATTCAGTGAGCTGCTAATATGTGTGCAGTAAAGAAAACAGGAGGGCCTGGTGTGCTCTGGTCCATGGGGTCATGAAGAGTTGGACACAACTAAATGACTAAACAACAACAACAACAAAGAAAACTGTATATACAAGTTTATAATTTTTAAGCTACTGTAAAGAAAGAAACATTTTTTATTCTTTCTCCCACAAATGTCTCAGAGTGAGTTATTGAGACTTTAAATGCCAGTTAACCAGAAAGGAGTGGACTCTGAGGGACTTGAAGCTGTTCTCCTCTCTGGATCTCTGTTGTGTAGCAAAATGAGACTTTTACCATAAATTCAAAGCTCTGCAACATACATGAGATGAACATACCAAATATATCCAATTAAAGGCTGTCCTCTCTCTACAAACAAAAAAGTTTGGCTTGAACCCTTGTGGATCTGTCTATTGTTTTGGCTGAGGAATATATATATCTTGTAGACCTCTAGCAGACAAAAGTAGAACAAGATAGCAGATCCCATAGATCTAGGCAGGCATTAGTGAACACAGCATCCTGAACATGTTTACTGGGAAGTACTTAGCCCCAAGATAGCAGATTCCATAGATCTAGACAGGCATTAGTGAACACAGCATCGTGAACATGTTTACTGGGAAGTACTTAGCCCTGCCTTTTCAGTTGTTACATTCTTCGTAGTTCCAGTTCTGGGTCTGATCTTATGGAAACTCCACACATGACCAAGAAGCCAGATTTTTTTCAGAATTCTTCATGTGTAATGCCTACATGTGAGCAGAAGCCTGTGCTTTTCAGCAGGAATGGGCACTTGAGTTTCAGGACTCACTGTCAAGTCAGACTTAAGTCACACTAGCGATTCAGCTTGGACTCAACTCAGTATTTCCCCCCCAGTGACTCAGACTCAACTTGCAACCTGGAGCAATTTGGAACCCATCCACATCCCCCTTTTTTCTGTGAAAATGAGCTTATCAGGACTTGGGTCTTGGTACCAAGACTCGGACTTGGGTCTTGGTATTTGGTGCTGAAGACCCAGATACAGACTTGGGACCTGGACCCAAAGATGTGCCAACATCCCTCCTTTTCAGAACCAGTGTTATAGCTATAGCATGAGAGGGGCTAGATTCAAGCACTCTTCTTCAAGCATATTCATAGCGCCAAACTGGGGTGTAGCACTGGTAACACCTTAAATATCTCACTTACCTCCACCTTTTTTCTGTGAAAAAGAGCTTATCAGGACTCGGGTCTTGGTACCAAGACTCTGACTTGGGGCTTGGTATATGGTACATTCACCTTGCCAACAAAAGTCCGAATAGTCAAAGCTATGGTTTTTCCTGTAGTGATGTACGGAAGTGAGAGCTGGACCATAAAGAAAGCTGACCGCCGAAGAATTGATGCTTTTGAATTGTGGTGCTGGAGGAGACTCTTGAGAGTCCCCTGGACTGCAAGGAGAACAAACCTATCTATTCTGAAGGAAATCAAGCCTGAGTGCTCACTGGGAGGACAGATCCTGAAGCTGAGGCTCCAATACTTTGGCCATCTCATGAGAAGAGAAGACTCCCTGGAAAAGCCCCTGATGTTGGGAAAGAGTGAAGACAGGAGGAGAAGGGGACAACAGAGGACGAGATGGTTGGACAGTGTCATCAAAGCAACCGACGTGAATTTGACCCAACTCCAGGAGACAGTGGAAGACAGGAGGTCCTGGCATGCTCTGGTCCATGGGGTCACGAAGAGTCGGATACGACTAAACGACGACATGGTATTGAAGACTCAGGTACAGACTTGGGACCTGGACTCAAAGATGTACCAACGTCCCTCCTTTTCAGAACCAGTTTTATAGCTATAGCATGAGTGGAGCTAGATTCGGGCATATTCACAGTGCCAAACTGAATAATACCTATGCGCATAAAAATAAGTAATGGGGGAGTAGCACTGGTAACACCACTCCTTAAATATCTCACTTACCTTGAAAGCCCTGTTAGGTCACTATAAGGCATGACAACATGTAACAACAACAACAGCCAATTTAAGAACCAGTGCATCATGGTGGGGATGATCTGCCTGGATCAGGTAAAGATGAAGAGTATATGGGCACAAATAAGAAGGGAAGCATGTGTGTGTAAGAGCAATAGAAGAACAGTTTTGTGAGACAAAAATAAATGTGTATTTATGAGGAGAAAGTGGTGTATGTCAATATCCCTGAGAATAGTGCGGTGGGGGGATTAAAATGGAGAGAAGGAGGGAGAGGGAGAAAAATCAGCTTTCTGAGGAATTCTTTTCAAAACTTTTTAATTGTGTGAAGTCTGGGATCACTGGAGGACCCAGGGGTTTGGGGCTGGTGAAGCATAACCATGGGGTCTGTATGCTCCCCACAGGCTCTATTTCCCACCCCTGGCCAGAATGTTGAATGCAAGTGTTAAAACATGCCACTGTTAGTTGGACATCAGAATAAAATTCCTCCCACAAACCTTCAGAATCCCCTTTCCTTTGTACTGAAAACACAGAGGGGACCCTTAGCCAAAAATCTGTTCCTCCCTGTCTGTACCCCCTCACTATCAGTGAAATGGACTCATGACCTGTTCACAATGAGGCTTTTAAGGGCGAAATCATGAATACTAGATCATTTTCATTCAAAAGAAATGTGTTCTTCATTTAGGTTTGACACAAGAAGAAGCAAATGAGTGTGTCCGGACCGAAACAACCAGGCGGATCTTGTTCAAAAAGAAGAAGAAAGTGCATACAAGATGCACAAACAATAAAATGACAGCTCGCCATGAAGGTGAGTTGCAAGGAGAACATGTCTCAAGTCATCATTTTCAATAGTGCAGGAGTTTGCCATTGTGAATAGTAACAACTACAATCCTGAACCCTAACAGGGGTCTGACACTTTCAATATTCCATGGTTGTTCAATGACAAATATAGTAGGACCCCTATATTGAGAGACTGGTTTCAAGCTCCTTCCCGCAGATGTTAAAAACCATGGATAGTAGTGAATGTTATACATAGCATGGTAAAAAAAAAAGGGGGGGGGTCCTGAAAAAAGTATTTTCATGATGTACTTACTAGCATTGGTTACTTGAGGGAGCCAGAGTCCATGCTATGTATGCTTCAACAACAAACAAACTAGTGGCGAGTTCTGGTAAATACATTGTGAAAATACATATTTCTAGCTTTTTTTTCTTTTAATATTTTTAATATTTCCAGACCATGGATAAGTGAAACTGTGGGTACAGATCCCGCAGATATGGGGGATCCTACTGTATATAAAAAGATGATGCAATGGAGGTACTCAGAGGTGCATCTATTTTGGGATATAATAAAGAAATCAATCACCAAATGAAATGTTTCTTGTAAACTGCCTTGAGGGCCAACCAAATGTGACATTAAATGGATCTACACTATAATAGTCAGGCTTTTACAAATATTCAAATAACAATGTTCAAGGACTATTTTGGATTTTTAAAGCATACATAGCATGGTCTCTGTTGCCATCTAGTTGCCAGTTCTGGTAAATACGTTGTGAAAATACATATTTCTAGTTTTTTTTTCTTTTGATATTTTTAATATTTCCATACCATGGATAAGTGAAACTGTGTATACATATCCCACAGATATGGGGGATCCTACTGTATATAAAAAGATGATACAATGGAGGTACTCAGAGGTGCATCTATTTTGGGCTATAATAAAGAAATTAATCTCCACATGAAATGTAAACTGCCTTGAGGGCCAACCAAATGTGACATTAAATGGATCTACACTATAATAGTCAGGCTTTTACAAATATTCAAATAGCAATGTTCAAGGACTATTTTGGATCAAAAAGGTATTGAAGAAGTTTAATACTTATTTTGAAGGGGAATTTTTCCTCTACAACTTATACAGTGAGAAACTACATTCTTGGACAGGGGTTCTCTGAAATCTACCTTGGAGTAAAGCTCAGTGTAGAACATTGTAATGGTTTCTAAGCTTTGAGCCTTCTTGCACAATAATGGTAAAATCCAGCCAAACAGTTTTAGCAAAACAACAACAACACAATAAAACAGAGTACTTGCTATTTTTCAGTCAAGTCTTTCATTTTCTGTTTTGACATTGATGCTATGCGCTTGTGCACATATGTGATGGCCAGTCTTGTAAAATAACCAGTTTCAAATCCTTCCCAGGTTCATTTCTGCAGTCTTCTGAAAAGTCGGTATCATTAGTAAAAGGTGGGAGATCGGAATATGCTGCAGCACTTGCCTGGGAAAGAAAGGGAGCATTGCCAGAACACATTGCATATACCAATTGGTTGGAATCAACTAAGGAGAACCCAGTTGTCATTGACTTCGAGGTAGGAAAGCAGAAAGGAGAAGGAATAAAATAACATATTGATTTAATCCATTACTTCCCCACCCACCGGAAAGAAGTCCTAAAACTCTTCCGTTTGCAATGTAAAAAGCATTTGCTGACTTTTGGTGAATATTGTGGGCACAAAAATGCAGTGCCGAAGAACCTGTTGTAGATTTTCACTGTCATAAGTGCAATGCCATAAATAACAGCAACAAATCACACTAATTAATGAGTTGCTACTTGCCTTCCCAGTTCCACACCAGGAGTATGACTTGACACACCACTAGGAATGCAAGTAGCAACTTGTTAATTAGTGGCAATTTGCTGCCACGATTTACACAATTATTTGCTTAACCTTGGTGCAAATGCATAATAGGATTCTCGCTTGTTGTATGCTATTATTTACATGTGGAACTATTAACAAGTGTGGCAGCATAGATGGTTGTAGTAAAATATTCTAGTTAACTATCCATGCATCCAGAAAAATCTGCCCCATTCTCACTCCCAACTGCTTTTCCTCCCTTAACCCTAAGTATCCAGCCCATTCACTGCACTGAAAACCAAAGGAACAGTTGAAGGAGCTGAGTGTATTTAGTCGAGAGAAGAGAAAACTGAATGGCAATAGGATAGGCATCACCAAAAAACAAAACAAAACAAAACACAACCCAAAGACTGTCGTGTGAAAGAAGGTTGCAGGTCATTTCCTGAGATTCCAAACGACAGGACCTGAACTAATGAATTAAATTATGAGAGAAGAAATTGCAATGAAACTCACCTGTACCATTCCTGACTATAAGAGGTGCCTGGCAGTGGGAAAACCTCTCTTGAAAAGTGATGGACTCCCTTCACTAGAGTTTTAGATGGATAGCTATCTGCCAGAAGATGAGGATGGGTAGCCATCTGTCGGGGAAGTTTTAGCTGTGAGATTCCTGCTTTGAAAGAGGGTTGGAAGTCCATTTCTCAACTCTAGATTATATTGTTTGGTGTTCTTTATGGTTCGCCTCCAGGGGCAGCTTGTCAAACAGACATGAAAATATCCTACAGTTCTTTTAGGGTAGATATTCCAGTCAGGCTCCATCTATCATCCCACCCTACCCCTTTTTTCTCCACATATTTGTCGTACTTATGAAGGGCACACAATTTGCTGGTTTTCAAAGAGGCTTCAAAATGTCTGTTGTGTTCTCAGGGCTGTAAACACGTTGGGGGGTGGAAAAACCACATATCCTGCTCGCACTCTTAAATTTAATAGAATGCAGAAGGTGGGGAGAGATAGGAAGAAATAAGAGAACAAGTCATTCCTGGCATAATTTTTTTAAAGGCTTCTATAATACAGAAACAATTGGATTTTTAAAAGCCTTGTTGACTAACAAAGGCCGTAGAGGGACAATGATGCAAAAGACCCACTCTTGTGGCTTCAAATTGTGACAAGTACATAAAAATATTCAATGCAGAATAATGGTGAAGTTTCATCCTTCAGTGTTGGCATTAAAGGACTTCATCAGCTAAACATTGTTTTGCTCTTGTTACTGCAGCATGAAATTCATGTAAAAATAAAAGAAAGTAATTTCTAGACACAGAAGTAAAAGAGAGAAAGCAAACGGTGGGATGTGAAATATATTCTTCTCCGCAGTCGCCAAGAATACTGGCTTCCTTTGCTTACATTTATTTGTACTAGGGACAAAATTAAAACAATAATTCCAGTGGGTAGACCCTACTAGAGCAGACGTGTTTAGAGAAAAAAGAACTTCTTAGCTCAGTGCTTATGTAAGTCATGGTGATCCAGTGAGTCTGCGTTGTGAACAAAAGTTAGCTTTAGCCCAGCATTAGTTTAAATAATTTTAAAGTTATAAGCTTTTTATATGCCTTGCCTTGTCTCAGCCTACAGCAGCCAAGCTTAATTGCATTTTAAATAATAAAAAAGAAACAAAAAAAAATAAGTACACCATATTTTATCAGTTGTTCCTACTAGTTCCCAATGCTTATGCTTTGGCTGCTGTTGTCTGTGCCAAAGGCAGATCAGCCAGTTTGAAAGAGCCACAAAATTGATATAAGCCTACCCCACTTCCTCAAAAAAATAAAAATATAATCATTGTAGAGGGGAAAAAAATCGTATGAGAGATGGCCACTAATACTGGGTATGAGTGTGAATGGGTCTTTACAGCCTAATGTGATTACTAACTAGAGATAGGCACAAATAAAAAAAAATGGGTGATTTGTTGCAATTCAAATTGCAATTCAATTTGTAATCCAGCATCTTGATTCAAAGTGCTATAAAATGCCCCCCCCCCAATTTAGACACCTAAAGACACCAAAATTGCAAGGAGTTTGGTGAAAATTGGTTTTTGGACATCCATGTTATACACCCACAAAGTGGGTCGCCCCCCAGGAAAGTGCCCTTTCCAGCTGCAGTGCTGGAATTTACCACAAGTTATTGAGTCCACCCCTGTTCAATATAGGAATATCAAAGTATATCTGACAGGTGACTAATTTTCTCTTGAATGCCTCCAGCACTGGAGGGCTTACCACATCCCAAAGTAATTGATACCATTGTCACTCTGCTCTGAACAGCTGGGAAGTTTTTCCTAATATTCAACTAAAATCTGGCTTCCTGTACCTTGAGCCCATTATTATGTGTCCTGAAATCTGGGATGATCAGGAACAGATCCTGCCCCTTCTCTATACAACTACCTTTCAAATATTTGAAAAGTGCTATGCTATCTCCCCTCAATCTTCTTGCCTCAAAGCTAAACATACCCAGTTCTTTCAATCTTTCCTTATAGAGCTTGATTCCCAGTCCCCTTTCATTTAAATGAAACTTTTTTAATTTGAATGGCATCTAATAATGTCTGATATTATTACTATTATCTGTATAATATTTGATGGGAAGTGATATATCCTTGAAAATACATGAACGTCAAACTTTGTTGTCACATGCAAGTGTTCACCCTACACTTTTGCAATGATTTGGAAGTGACAGAAAAAGGATTTCAGAAATACCATATTTTTCCATGTATAAGACTATACTTTTGTCTAAAATCTTTAGACTAAAAATTGAGGGTCGTCTTATACATAGAAGAAAGCTGAGGAGACAACAAAAACAAGTGGAGGGGAAAGCAGGGATCAAAGCGATTCTGCAGTGCTTTTATCCCTTTCCCCCTACACTTGCTAAGCCCCGTTTAGATTAATTTTGGATTAGAAAAGTGGGGGGCGTCTTATACATGGAGGCATCTTATACATGGAAAAATACAGTAATCACTCTTCCCTTGACTCTGTTTGTGTCTGTAATCTTTTACTGTATTTAGTAACAGTGCCTTTGCATTTTCCTGAATTGCTCTTCACAGCCCTTAGGGGCAGGTACTTAAATAAAGAGGGAACAGATGTTCAGAACACAAAATTGCATGCCAGCAAACAAATATCATGCTGCTTGGTAAAGCTATGGCCACATGGAATATAGACCTATTCGCCTCCTGTATACTTGCTTTTTTAGTTGGGTTTAATTGTGGATTTGGTGAAGAACATTCCGTGCGCAGCAACCAAACGACATAACCTCAGAAGAGCTCTTATTGAATACATGGAGCAATTTGATGCCTGCCGGTGCACTCCATGCCCCAACAATGGCCGTCCAGTGCTGTCAGGAACCGAGTGTCTCTGTGTGTGCCAACCTGGGACTTATGGGGATAACTGTGAGCTGCGAGCACCTGATTACACATCCAGTATGTACCTTAATTAATATGCTGGGCTAAACATAATGTTCTTGTGAATTAGAACAGGCCTCTGGATCAAATGAGGCTTCCATAATTATTGACTTCCTAAATTCCAGCGTCTCAACTCCTGTTGATTCAATGGGTCTAGTGTAGTTGGCATAAACAACTGAATTTTACGGAAGAGTATTGTGGGGGGGGGATTTTGAGCAACAAACTGATTGTGGGCCATCACTGTAAGAATACATGGTACTTACGCTGGCAAAGTGAAGTGGATTCATGTTGGCCTTATGGCTATCAAAGAGTTTAACAGTCCTATTACTGTAGTTGCAGCCAATATGTAGAGAGCAATGGTGAAAAATATCCATGTCTCATACATCCTTTTTCACCTTCGCCTCTCCTTCTGAATGAGCCAAATAAGCCTGAAAAATGAGCATGCGACCGCAACTCATGTCATGCAATCAGTGACAATGAAAGTAGAACTTAGAAATGTTACCTTTTGGAACGACAACTCCCAGATGAATGGGAGCTGATTCTGTGAGCTGATGCCCATAAAATTATTATTCCCAAGCTTTGGATGGAAGCATTCTTGAGTTAGATATGCTGATATAAACTGGGAAGCATCTGTCTATGCCCCGATGAGCGATGAAAACTCTGCTATATGTGATATCTGCCATCCTGTTGTGAAGGATGTCACATTCAATCTGATCTTTCTTGGGATTTCTTTTCATCTGTTTTAGCTGCTGTGGATGGTTACTGGAGTTGCTGGTCTGCATGGAGTGCCTGCGATGCCTCCCAGAAAAGACGCAGGACCCGTGTGTGTAACAATCCCTCTAATCTAAATGGGGGGAAACCTTGTGAAGGTCAACAAGAACAAGAGGAAGAGTGCTATCCCTTCTTATTTGCTGACAAGTAAGACTGAAATGGTAGGGTTGGTTAATGACTGTAGATGACAAAAAGAGCAAATGTTTTGTATGCAGGTCCCAAGCTCAATTCTAGATATATTCTGGTAAAGGAAGGAAAGATTCCCATCTCAAACAATCTCAAACTCAAGGGAGCTGTTGCCAGTCATTGTAGACCAGTGGTTCCCAACCTTGGGTACTCATTTGTTCTTGGACTAAAACTCACAGAAGCCTTCACCACTAACTGTGCTGGCCAGGATTTCTGGTAGCTGTTGTCCAAGAACATCTGGAGATCCAAGGTTGGGGACCACGGGTGCAGACAATGCAAAGTCAATGGGCTAACTCTTGACATGGTCCAGGGCTGCTTCCTAGATCTGTGTCTCTTAATGCACAGGAGATGAGAAATCAGTTTGAATTTTAGTCTGACCTTTAGTTGAGCTATCAAAGGTCCTAAACCTATTTTGGGATTAGGGGTCAGCACCTTGTCAATGAAATGAAGCAGCAGTTACTTTTGTGTTACTATGCATTTGTTTCAATTGAACCTTGGACTTCCTGCATGAAAACTAAGTGCTCTGCTCTATCCCTGAGCAGAGCATTTAGTAATGAAACTGAAAAAACATACGTGCTTAATATCTTCCATCTTTATCGTTTTCTTCTTGTAGGGGAGCTTTATGTATAAGTGATGATGAATTTAAAAAGGAGACAGACATTTTCGTCAGCCAACCTGAATCTGGATGTCTTAAGCCAGATCCACCAGAACATGGATTCATCAGGGTGAGTGCTGGAACTTAGTAGCATTAAGGGGCAACAGCGTAGTGGGCCTAGGGTTCATAGCAGTGTCTCCTAACCTTGGGTCCCTAGATTAAAACTCCCAGAAATCCTGGCCACGCAGCTAGTGCTGAAGGCTTCTGGAGTTTTAGTCCAAGAACATCTTGGGACCCAAGGTTAGGATCCACTAGTTCAGAGGATCGAATTGGCAGGGACAATGACTGGTCCCATCCCATCACTAAAGCCACCTAATGAGCTTCATTGCCAAGTGGAGATTTGAATGTAGGCAATGGAAGCTGGTGTCTCCAATTTCAAGTGTGCTGTGATTCTGCTCTGAATTTTAGTCTACACTTCTCAGGAGTTAGGTACCCAGTAATGGTAGAATGACTGACTCAAATCTTGGAGACCAGGGTTTGAATCCCCGCTTGGCCATGGAAACTCACTGGAGAGTGGAACTGGTAAAACCAGTCCTTAAATATCTTGCTTACTGTGAAAGCCCTGTTAAAGTTGCTATAAGATGGTCCCAACTTGACAGCACATAACTAACTAATTCTCAGGAGTTTCCAAGAGGTTGAACCCAAGATTCCTGAGCCTGGTCTAGCCTCCAACCAACACAATCTTGGATCTTTGTTTAATAATTTTCTCAAACAAATCAAAAGGACCGGCAATAGTTTTGTGGACAGCTTGTCTGTGTGCGCACAAACTAAAGCGGCACCTTGCAGCCATTTTGCACATGCTTCCTCAACTGTGCATTTCGTCAGAGGGTGATTTCTTTCTCGTTGTTAATTTCAGAATGAAAAGAATTATTATGCAGTGGGAGAAGATGCTGAAGTTGTGTGCTTAAGTGGATACAGTCTGGTGGGATATCCATTCTTACGATGTTTGCCTGATCAAACATGGGCACAGCAGGCGGTCACATGCCAGTGTAAGAACCAGAAAATTTGCTTGTAATCGATCTGGTGACCTAGGAAATGTAAATAAAAGAAGGGAATAACACACACCTGGTACCCCTCATGAGTAACATGCATCTGGTACCCCTCCAGCCATGTTATGCTACTGCAGTGGAAGGGTCGCTGCACCTGGCTGGGCAGTTTGGCCGTCTGGTGCTATAGCATCCTTGAGGCTAATGTTTCCCAACCTTGAGTCCCCAGATGTTCTTGGACTACAGTTCCCTCAAATCCTGGCAAGCACAGCTGAGAGCTTCTGGGAGTTTTAGTCCAAGAACATTTAGGGACTCAAAGGTGGGAGCCACTGCCTTAGGGGGTACTCTATCTTCTACTATCATAATGCAAAAGACGGTAGCTGGACTCCTCAGCCAGACAGACCCCTGATTCTTTTTGCACTGAGTAGAATCCTTGTCACAACAACAATGCATCAATAGCAAGAAACTCACCAGCCTTATGATATTTTATTCATTTATTTATTAGATTTCTATCCCGCCCTTTTAGACAAAGTCTAAGGGTCTAACCCCACCCCATGTCACCTTTTAGTTGGTGAACAATCCCACACTTCATAACGACAAGAGCCAGTATCAAGGATCTAGAAGTCGGCTTGTTGCAAATGCTTGGCCATCAAAATCCAGTAATTCCTGGCCAAAACCAGAAATTATAGGAAGCCCTTGACTGGAAAAGAGAAATTGTTAACTAATGTGAACTCCTGAGTGCTTCAGTGCAAATCCTCTCACCTCTGAGATTATACAGATGAGCTTGCTTTGCCTGATGATTTAGAGGTCTTCGGGATTTACAGCAAGTACCAGATTCCAGACTTCACAAACCTAAAGTATGTGCCTCAAGCACTTCTCCGCAACATTAACATGTTTTCAGCTCTGATTAGGGGTTGTCTGTAATGTTCGTTTGATGCATCTTCCACTCTTTAAATGGCGTAACAATGATTTAAATTCTTCTCCTTTTTTTTAAACTATAGTGTCTGCCTGTTCCAGACCTGCAGCATCTCAGGATGTCTCCATTTCCCCATTTAAAATTGAATACACAATTGGGGAAACTATCCAGCTAAAGTGTCCTGCAACCTTTACCCTAGCTGGCCATACACAGTACACTTGTGGGAAAGGCCCCTCCTGGAAGCCCCCCATTTTGGCACCACTTACGTGTGTGAGAGGTAAAAGAAACTAAGTGCATCCATGTGGCATAATGCTTGGACAGTTTAATTAGAACTCAGGGGACTCTGCTGTGCAAATCTAGATTTACACCCTGATTGTTACAGTAGATAGTGTGGTGTAGTGTGGTGGTCCCCAACCTTGGGCCTCCAGATGTTCTTGGACATCAACTCCCAGAAATCCTGGCCAGCAGAGGTGGTGGTGAAGGCTTCTGGGAGTTGTAGTCCAAGAACATCTGGAGGCCCAAGGTTGGGGACCACTGGTGTAGTGGATAATGGACTGGGACACAGGAGGTGTTGCTGAGGGAGTGGAACTCATTAAATCACTCCTCAAATGCTTCATGCTTCTTATCAGAGCGCGCAGCACTGTTGAAAGTGTTGTTTGAGTTTAAGAACTCTGAACATAGAGCAGTGAAGAGACCAAAAAAAGAAAAAAAGAAAAAAGAAAACAAGACTCAGATGTGTTCCCTTCACCATCAGAACTGTTTTTACACAATATACATACATCTATACACCTCTTCAGAATTGGCAGTGCAGAAAATAGCAATCATAGTTCCGTCCAATACTCCAAGATGATGACTGACAAAGTGACACGCTGCTTCTCCATGAATAACCCAACAACATAGGTTTGTTAACTGCCTGTCTATATACCTGGATATGATGCAACGCTTACTCAGCAAATGGCGCATTGCACCTGTGCAGGCATGTCACCTGTTCTGGCTAGAAAATGATGCAACGCTTACTCAGCAAATGGAGCATTGCACCTGTGCAGACATGTCACCTGTTCTGGCTAGATGCCAACCAGAATGACTCAGTGTTTCTTCCTTTCCTTAGTCGTTCTCCCATAATTCAGACAGGCCGACTCAGAGTTTCTTCCTTTGCTTAGTCGTTCTCCCATAATTCAGACAGGCAATTCCATATTTTTCTGCCATATGTTAACACTTCTTGAAAACCCTACAAGGGTCGCTGTATGTTGGTTCTGACTTGACGGCACACGACTCAGAGTTTCTTCCTTTGCTTAGTCGTTCTCCCATAATTCAGACAGGCAATTCCATATTTTTCTGCCATATGTTAAAACTTCTTGAAAACCCTACAAGGGTCCCTGTATGTTGGTTCTGACTTGACGGCACATAATAACAACAGCGTTGCAATAGATCTAATATATCCCCAAAAATTGGGAAGTGAGGAAGGAGTGTTTCTTACCTCCCAGGGTTAAGGTTGTTCTCTCACCTTTTCTTGCAACAGCTTTATGAAGTAGTTACATCAAGAAAATGAACAAGGATATTGCCTCCCATATGTACCTACCCAAACCTTATGAACTGCAAGATTCAGGTCCCTAAAATGATCACTGCTATCAACTTGATGCCATCTTTATAGCCATTTGAGTACTAGTGGAAATCCTTTTTTAATTCACTCTGGGCTTTTAAATAGCACATATTTTATAATGTGGGTCTTTTAGCTCAAATCCTGCTTTTGATTTGTTTTTCAGTTCTGTAGTCTAGTCCTCTCATCTTATAAATTATGTTTTAATTATTTTTTAGTTTGATCGCCCAATATCCTGTTGCTAAGCTTATAAAACTGTGGCCAAAATCCTGTTGCTTATCATAGTAAATCTCACTAGATTAGGCCCATTGAATCAGTAGAGATTTAGTGAGAACTCTTTCATTAGTTCAATTGATTCAAATGGACCTACTCTAACTGTGAATTACTTTAGCGCAGTGCAATTTACTATACTAAACAACAAGGTTTTGGCCACAGTTTTATAGGCTACTGTCCTGTTTGCTGGAGGTGGAAGCAAAGCATTCCACCTGTGAAGGTCTTGTGGCATCTGTTTTGTCATTGAGCAAGTTGGAAATTACCTCTTACATTTCAGTGGGGATTACACTCACTCAAGGAGTAATGGTGATGTGTGGGCTTCTGAAAAGCTCCCCCCCCCAAAGGGCAGTGGAGATTCGTGCACATAGAACAAGGCAGGAGGACTCTGCCAAGAATCACAAACTCTTTCTTTATAATCTGTGCTTGAATCATCTAATTTTAAAAGTTTGTCTTGTTTTATGCTGCATTTTATTGCTGCCTTTGTTTTATGAGCACCCAGAGAACTAGGCAAGAGGACTCGGGCCACTGTTTAATAACAAACCTTCATGCCCACCATATAGGCTGCTAGATCATGCACAGATTTGAATTTAGATCTCTCAAAATGTTGCTTCTTTTATAATCCTATTCAGGAAAGAGTATGGAAAGGTCCATTTTGGACCATGCCAGTTTGTGTAGATATTGTAATAATCATACACACATGGGTGTTTCTTCCAGAAAAAGAACAATGGCAAAACATTTTGGAAATCCTACAAGATTTGCTGTGAGATTTCCTGGGGGGGATCCTCTTATAGAAAAGGAGGTGCCCCCCATTTCTTGTACAGACCAAGAAACTGCAAGATTCAGGTCCCTAGACTAGACAGTCTTTTAGACGGAAGACTACTTCAAGAGAAGAATTGTCGAAAGGAGAGCTGCCAGTTTTATTTTGGAGGACTGCCAGCCCTTCCAATAGAGCTGTGGTCCCCAACCTTGGGCCTCCAGATATTCTTGGACTTTAAAAAGTCCTGGCCAGGAGATGTGGTGGTGAAGGCTTCTGGGAGTTGTAATGCAAGAACATCTGGAGGGCCAAGTCTGGGGACCACTGCAATGGAGGATTGTCTTCTTTAAAATGTGACAGATGGCCACCCTAACATGACCAAATTCCATCTGCAGTGGATTCTAGTCATGTTTAAGTGAACATAAGCAAACCCCTGCTCAGTGCAGTGGTTCCAGGGACTGAGGTGGCACAGATGGGAGCAGCAGACATGAGGACATTAGAATTTGAACCAGCCTTCATAGCTTTATCCTTCTTGTGAGAAATGCTTCATACAGTCATGATAGGCACATCACACCAGTGTCTTTTTATCCTCCTGAGCATCACTGTTTTCTCCTACAGGTGATTTTCAAGCTCAAGGCAGCTGCAGCCCAGGCCAAAAACAGGCTGGATCCCATTGTGTGTGCATGTCCCCAGAAGAGGATTGTGGGTAAGGAAGACTTTTTCACACTTTTATGTTGGTTTCAATGGAAGGCTAGGTGTTCTCTCATTTTGGGCTAAAACTTGGAACGGCTTTGGCCTTGTGATATCACATGTTGAGGCAAGCAACGGTTAGGAGGGGGGATAGAATTGCTTGGCACCCAGCGGGTTGGAATAGATGGGTGGAGTTCAGGGCTACTGTACATTCCAAATATTGCAGAGCTAAGGCACAATGGGCATAAGGGAGAAACCACTGGCACAGTATAGGGAAACATATGAACTCTGCTTAACAACAATGGATACTTACCAGATGCTAACAAGTGCAAGTACTGTATAGTGCTAAACCAGAGAAGCACTTTAGTGCTAGACTATTAACAATTACCCCTTCATGGATTGCTCCCTTGTCATGGCAAAGGGGCTTGAGTAATTTGGAGAAGCTATGGGTTATCCCATGCAAGGACACCCAAGACAGACAGGTCGTTGTGGAGAGTTCTGACAAAACACAATCCACCTGGAGCAGAAACTGGAAAGCCACTCCAGTATCTTTGCCAAGAAAAACTCCATGGACAGAAACAAAAGGCTAAAAGATATGATGCTGGAAGATGAGCCCCTCAAGTTGGAAGGTGTCCAACATGTTACTGAGGAAGAGCAGAGGACAAGTACAAGTAGCTCCAGAGCTAATGAAGTGGTTGGGCAAAGCCGAAAGGACGCTCAGCTGCGGATGCGCCTAGAAGTGAAAGGAAAATCCGATGCTGCAAAGAAAAATACTGCATAGGAACCTGGAATGTAAGATCTATAAACCTTGGTAAGCTGGATGTGGTCAAATAGGAGATGGCAAGAATAAATATTGACATCCTAGGTGTCAGTGAACTAAAATGGATGGGAATGAGCAAATTCAATTCAGACAATTATCATATCTACTATTGTGGGCAAGAATCCCGTAGAAGAAATAGAGTACCCCTCATAGACAACAAACGAGTGGGAAAAGCTGTACTGGGATGCAATCTCAAAAATGATAGAATGATTTCAATACGAGTCCAAGGCAGACCTTTCAACATCACAGTAATCCAGGTTTATGCACCAACAACCAATGCTGAAGAGGCTGAAATTGACCAATTCTATGAAGACTTACAACAGTGAATGCTGGACCATAAAGAAGGCTGACCCCCGAAGAATTGATGCTTTTGAATTGTGGTGCTGGAGGAAATTCTTGAGAGTCCCCAGGACTGCAAAGAAAAGAAACTTATCCATTTTGAAGGAAATCAACCCTGAGTGCTCACTGGAAGGACAGATCCTGAAGCTGAGGCTCCAACACTTTGGCCATCTCATGAGAAGACTCCCTGGAAAAGACCCTGATGTGAAGGCATGAGAAGAAGGGGACGACAGAGGATGAGATGGCTGGACAGTGTCATTGAAGCTACCAATATGAATTTGACCCAACTCTGGGAGGCAGTAGAAGATAGGAGGGCCTGGCATGCTCTGGGGTCACGAAGAGTCGGACACAACTTAACTAAACAATAACAAAAATGAACAATTAGGATGCAACTACTGGCAAATTTTGTAACATTTCAGTACCAAATTAGATAAAAGGGATTAAAATAAGGCAATACAACTTCTTCTTCTCCTTCTATTCGCCCTGTTCTTCCTCCTCTGGCATTTATCCACATGCACACATTTCTTCATAGCTGGGATAGGAAATATTTAATGCCTTAAATATCTGAATGTGGGAGGAAGTCCCGATTTTACCCATCCTTACTTTTTGTATATCTAATGACAGCTAAAACAATCTGGAATGCCGACTCAGTTTACCAGGTCAAAAGAAGTCTGGTGAACAACGTACAAAACAAATTCAAATATTCCTGATTTTTAAAAAAATCTGAAGAAAGCCTTTTTGTACATTTTCCCATGCATAGTTTATTTCCCAGTAAGATTTTTATTTGTCCTCTGGCAGCCATTCTTCTGAAGATGTTTGTGTACTGGATGGAGCTTCAGAACAAGCTCTGACCAAGCCCAGCTGCCAATTCTTGGCAGAAAAGTGCACAGATGAACATTCATTCCATTTTCTGCACGCTGGCCCCTGCCGCAGTGACAGTGACTTGAGCTGGCCTATGGAAAGGATCAGAATCTCTTCGGGCAGCATCAAGAGGGAACCCTGCGGCTATGATGTGTGCTATGACTGGGAGAAATGCTCAGGTATGTACATCTACTGGTGCTGCTGGACTATGATCACTTTGGTGTATTTGCCCTGCTCAGTCTATGGGCCATCCCCAGTTTTTATGGATCATGTGACTGGGCTGAGTTCAAGGAGCCTCCTAATTCAGGGGAGGGGCCGCATGCACACACTGTAACTCCCATCATCCATAGCCATCATGGAAGTTGTTACCCAGAAACATCTCCAGGGCTAGTCTTTCCCTATTCCCTAAACTAAGGCCATTGTACTGCTCCTGAGTGCTCTTGATCAATCAAGGGGTACAGATTTATTCCCCGACCCTATTAATTTTCACAATTAGAGTATTCTGCTACCCTGTGTCTTCTGTTGTCAGGTCATTCATCTGTCTAATCCAGTATTATTTTCTTCAACTGGCAGCATGAGTCATTAGGCAGAGAATGTCAATTACCCTGACTCAGGTCCTTTCAGCTGGAGGCGCTAGGGATTTAATCCGGGCTGTTCTGCACACGAAGCCTGTATGCTAGCAGAAACCGATACCCCATTTCTGCTTCGCTTCCTCCCTCGCCCCAGGTCGAAATACATCTTTCAATAAATATGTCTTTTATCAGGTTTGGAGGAACTATTTTTTTCCTCTAGAACCAGAGCCATGTATAAAGGCTAAACTCTTCCAATTAATGCTCCTGGATTTACTTCATATACCAGAAATATAAGGCACTCACAAATCATCTCATCAAAAATCTATTCCTGGTTGCTTCCTCCACCTAAAGAATGGGGAGACAGAAATCCTTCCTGATTTACTTCACCCAGAAATCTACCAGTAGATACTGAACAACATTCTAAAATGGATATCTTGCGCCCTGCGGTGAGACACTTGTGTAATTGATGACTTATGGGACCCAGTCATACAGTTCTGCTTTGGTTATTTAGTTCTTGGTTACGCTGATATCCCCTTTCCTCCAGTGAGCATCTCTGTAGGAGTGACCACAAAACTAAAGAAAGGCTAATTATGAAGGTGATCACAGAACAAAGGAAGTGGGTGATCACAGGCAATTAGGAAAGCAATTAGTTTTAGAGAGAGAGAATTAAGAAGTCAGTCCACACACATACAGTGGAGTCTCTACTTAAGAACTTAATCTGTATTGGAAGGTGGTTCTCAAGTTGAAAAGTTCTTATGTTGAATCTGCATTTCCCGTAGGAATGCATTGAACACCAATTAATCCGTATCTGCTCTTTTCCGTCCATAGAAACTACAGTGGAACCTCTACTTAAGAACTTAATCCGTTTTGGAATGGTGTTCTTAAGTTGAAACGTTCTTAAGTTGAAGCAAAATTTCCCATAGGAATGGACTGAAAACCAATTAATCCGTTCTGGCTGTTTTTTTGTTATGTAGAGTTGCGTTCGTACATTGAAGCATTAGTTCCCACAGGAACTAATGCAAAGCTGGTTAATATGTACTCTACCACTAGGGGGAGATTTTTTTTTTAACCTAAGATGACCTAAGGTTAAAAAAAGAGCAGGAAAGTTTTTTTTTCCTGTTCTTATCTTGGATTTCTGTTCTCAAGTAGAAGCAAAATTTAGCAAATGGAGCTGTTCTTAAGTTGGATTGTTCTTAAGTAGGGACGTTCTTAAGTAGAGACCCCATTGTATGTCCACCAGCAGAGCCCCAGGGCGATGCCCTAAGACCTTACAGATTGCAAGCTTACAGATTGTTGAAAGGATTCAGATAGGACACTAGTTACCTAATCACCACTTAGGACTGGCTGGAGAAAGCCTTTGATCTTATGCTCTAACTCTAAGGGGAAAAGGTAGAATGAGTGAGTCACCTCTCCCATCAGGAGCCACTGTCACTGTGCCAGGAGAGTTTGCTCTACACTGAAGAACAGATAACAGCTGGCAACCTTGAGAAGGGTGTCCCTACACATCTCCTCCACTTTTACTTTATCCTCACAACAGTCCTGTGAGGGGAGTTAGACTGACTGGCCCAAGGACACCCAGAGAGTTCCATGGCTCAATGGGGACTTCAGCCTGGATTTCTCAATTCTTATCCCAACTACACCATCTTGGTTTTCGTATCTTTCATCATGAAGTGTTTTCAGTCTATTAAAGAGATTAATGTGGGTTGTACCAGAAGCAAAATTCACTGGAGATTATTTATGGAACAATTACTGGGCAATAAAGGGAAATGGCCACAGCATTTCCTGGAAGGTTATGAAATGTGTTTTGGCTAACACATTACATGGAATAATCCTGCCAAAAATGTGAGGGATGGTGACCCTGTGTAAACAGAAGACAGTTTGGAGGAGGCAGTGTGGGAAAAGCATTGAATTGGGTTCATAAATGCCTCTCCTCTCTCTGGCCAAATTTGCAAAAACAAAGATAGCTGTGAGCAGCCATGAGGGGAAACTGCAGAAGCACAAACACATACACATGTACAGACTTGCATAAACTCCTGAGCAATACTTTTATTAGAACCAGATGAGATGGCACAGAGGGGTGCAAAGCTTTGAATATCACAGAATTCTTCATCAGGATAAGTGGTTCCCCAAAACAAAACAAAAAGTACACAAATACAGGACATGGAAATACATAAGTCTGCAAATTAGGACATATATGAAATGACCCACTGTTAGGTGTGCAGGTATTGAGTTACAACTAGCAATCTATATCTCAAACAAAGAAACACTAGCTAATACACATTTTCTCACATGGGGAGCTGATCTCAGTGGCTTTGTTATAAGCTTCTGAAAAGAAAGTGTTTTGGTTTTGACATGGCAACTTTGACAGGAAGTGCCAGACTGGTGGAAAACATTTTCTTATCTGAAGGAAAGAACAAGATGGTTCTGGATTTCTGTGCATTCAAAACAAAAGGAGCTGGTACATCCAAAGAAATCCAGATTATAAATGAGAGACTATATCCTGCCACTTCATCTCTCATTTATAGTCCAGATTTCTGTGCATTCCACATATAGAAGCTGACAAGGTGAGCAGCTGAAGCTTGTTTCAGTGCTGGTTATGGAATAGCATCCTTATCCCCCACAAGTAGGGAATGTACAAAGAATCCACTCCACTGATTCCCCATTTCATGGACCAGCTGCATCTTGCAACTCACTATGAGAATATTTTACAACTGGTAATTCATCCCTTAAGCCAGGAGGAAACAAAGCATCTCATAAAAATACTGTTTATATTTTTTTTAAATGTGTGTGAACATGCTTTAGTTAAGGGAAGGATGCATGCAAAAACAGGTGCTTCGTACGGTGTGTGGTGTGTACATGAAGATGCACATATTTTAAACGCATTGCCAAAACATGCATTCTAAACATATTTTATTCCTGCAGAAAACACACACACGTTCAGGAAGAGGCAGCATGGAACAGACTAGGAGGAAAGAAAGAGAGGAAGTGTTTAAACCAGACTTTGACTGGATTGCAGAGTAGACTAGGGACACATTTCTACATATCCCACAAACAATTCACTGTGAGATTTTTAGCAGTTGTGATTAGACATGGGGACGAATAAATAAATGGATTGTGATATTTGTAAAAAATTGCTGATTTGTTAAATATTCGTCCCTTCATATTCATTAGTTCCAGAGACCCCGACGAATACAAAGGAATGAATATTTCCCCATTTTTATTTGTCCCCCATACAGACCTATGACCTTCCCATTCTGTTTATGGGCCCACTGATCAGTGGGCTGATAGGCAGCCAACCAGCCCCACAGCTGCCCACCCCCACAGCCTATCTCCTGCCCCCTTCCCCTCCCTACCTTAGCCACTGCCACCATCAACTACCACCTGGCACTGCCATAATCTACTGCGCTTGCTGCCACCACCATCCATCACCACCCACTGCGGTGGCCTCCTCAGCCATGGCCTGCTGTAAGGGACGCTGGCTGCCCTTTGCAAAAATGGCAGCTGCGGCTTCTTTTAGGGCAGGGAAGCTGCAGCCACCATCTTTGCAAAGGGCAGTTTAGATTCCCTTAAGGCTGGCCATAGCGGTGGAGGCCATTGTAGGAAGTGATGGTGGATGGTGACTGCAGAGGCCGCTGTGGCACAGGCCTCCATGGATGGTGGTGGCAGTGGTGCAGACTGCAGCAGCCAAGATAGGGAGGAGACAGGGGTAGTGGGAAGGGGGCAGGGAGGCAGGCTGTGGGGGTGGAGGGGTCAGCTTTTTCTTTTAAGACAACCTCTGGCTGTCTAACCCCACCCCCCATGAACCGACAAATAAATTCATGGGAAGGAGATTCGTGCTTTGTCAACTTTGATGGATCACGAAGCAGGACAACTTGCCAAAATGGCGATTTGTCCCCATCTCTAGTTGTGATCTTAAAAAAAGAACTGTCTTCTGACATTTGAATAGAATATTTGGCCACCTTCCAGCAAAGTAGCACCCCAGGAGAATAGAAACATGGGGGGGACATTATTACCAATAATTCAGCACTCTCCCTCTGAGGTAGTTGCCTCAGGGTGTGATCCGATGGCTTGAAAGGATCACATCTGATCACACCAGAAAGCCGGGAGTAATTCCTCTTAAAGTGAGCCTTCCCTCTTTTGGAGAATTGCTCCAGCCTACCCTCCCCCCCCCAAAAAAAAAGAGTAGCTCAGCTCAGGCAAAAATCAGGGCCAGGCTAGAGCACTATTGCACACATCTTGCATGATTGCTGGAAAATAACTCACAATACACCATGCCACAAGTGGTCCAGAATGCAAGCTATTCCCCTGGTTGATTGCATCCTAACAGTTGAGCTTGTTGTGCCAAACTTTCCAGTGCCCATATGAAAAATAGACACATAGACTGTACACAAACACAGACATACATATATACTGTATATAGATACTAAACGAAAAATCTCCCGAAGCATGCCATCATAACAGAACAAAGCAGAACTTCAGATACCATTAAACAGATAGAACCTGCTAATTAAAGTGCCTTGGGAAACAGAAAGTGTTTAATAAATGTTTTCTGAGCACTATCTGGCTAAAATTAAACATCTATCTTTCCATCTTGCAGAGTCACGAGGCGAATGCTTCTGCCTATTGCCTAACCAGTGTCCACGTGGGGATGAAGGGAACCTTTTCTGTACCCAGATTCGGTCCAGAAATATGACAGCCAACCTCTGCCTCCTGGGGGCAATGAAGTGCTCCAAAAGGAACATTGAAGTATTACATGAAGGAAGCTGTATGGAGTGAGAGCCACTGAGTGAAGTATCTGCAGCTTTCATGGCTACGTTTGGCTGGGTTCTGGTTTTTAGGACTGAGCATCCACCTTTCTATCTGCATCCGTATTTCTGATTCCAGCAAAATGGAAGCTCACATGCAGGTGAGGGCCATCTATGCTAGAAACACCTTTTCATCAGCTAACTGCCCCTGCACCTGTGTGGACTGCTTTTCCCCAGAAGACAACCAACACCCATTCTTAGCAAACTGGGGTTGAATTACAATGTCTCTGGGCATTTATATGATGTTCTTCCTCTCACACGAACCAACTGTATTTAAAATCAAAACAAAAATCTCAAAGGGCAATGTCTAGGAGAAGAATATTAAAAACAGTGAATGTACAGGTATAACAAAAATACCAAACAGCAGAAATATGATGAAATTCAGACCAACTGGCAATGCCAGCACAAACCATTTTGACGCCCAAATCAGACCCCAAATGCTCATTTCTGTCCTCTTACCAATGGTAGTCCTTTACAAAACCGTGCTGTGCCATGTGGATCCCAGTCCAAAAGTTTGGAAACACTCACTTTGGACTACAGTTCCCAGAATCCTTAGTTGGTGTGGCTAGCTAGGTGGGTGGTTATGGAACTTGTAGCTCTCTCTACCTCTCTGCTAGTTGCAATCCCAGGATGACCCCAGAAGAAAGAAATGGTAAACCTTAGCTAGGTGGGTGGTTATGGAATTTGTAGCTCTCTCTCTCTCCTCCCAAAATCACTTCTAATCCTATAGTGCTATGATTCTAAGAAGGGTGGTTATGCTAAGTATTCTCTTCCTGGAAAAATCCTGATAAGGGTTGCCATAAACCAGAATTAATTTGACAGCACATGATTGTGATTACTATAGCATTAATCAGAAAAAATATATATACAATTTTGGTTGGGGAACAATTGTACCAGGGGCTGGATCTTGTCAGAGTATGCTGTAGTTGCAAAAGCCTTCTCTTTAGTCAGGCAATGGACTAGATTCCTCCCAAAATCACTTCTAATCCTATAGTGCTATGATTCTAAGAAGGGTGGTTATGTTTTCTATATTCAAATATTAAAGCTAAGCTTGCTAGCAAAAATAAGATTATTTGTATATTAATTTCCGGTACACTCTAACCTTTGTGCTGACCTGCATTGTGGGATATTTTCTCATTTCACTAGAATTACAACATGCTGATATTAGCAATAGGGCACGACTAAACGACTAAACAACAACAACAACTTCTCATTTCAATTACAACATGTTGATATTAGCAATAGGGCACAACTAAACGACTAAACAATGACAACAACAAAGCATTGTACTGTAGTTAGGGCTAAGATTAAAGAATTCAGATTAATGTACGTGTCTTGTACCTCCTAAACCCATTAAGAATGCCAATATTTGCCCTCTCCTCTGTCAAATGAGGCCAATGTATCAACAACCAGAGTACATCACTGCTCTTTCATGGCAATATAATTCACTGAAAAATGGCACATAACACTTTTTGTCACAATAGATTACAATGGCTGGTCCCAGGAATTATTCCAATGGCAAAAAGCAATGGATTTGTTGGAACGATTTATATTCCAATTGTGGGTGGATGGGTTCATTCAGTCTCCCATGTAGGTCTAATTCTGTGTGGATTCTGCTGCAAAACATGAGTGGGGGAGGGGGGACTAAATGTCCTGTCTGTTGTGTGATGGCCCATTGAGCCACCAGGTCACCTGCGGCCGTGACAACTATATCTGTGTCCTGTTAAAGTCAGTTAGCGAGAACGATTTATATTCCAATTGTGGGTGGATGGGTTCATTCAGTCTCCCATGTAGGTCTAATTCTGTGTGGATTCTGCTGCAAAACATGAGTGGGGGAGGGGGGACTAAATGTCCTGTCTGTTGTGTGATGGCCCATTGAGCCACCAGGTCACCTGCGGCCGTGACAACTATATCTGTGTCCTGTTAAAGTCAGTTAGCGATGGAACACTCATAACAACTATAGCATGCTGTCCCCCTGGTCCGATCTGTGTCCTGTTAAAGTCAGTTAGCGATGGAACACTCTCTTTCAACAGGTTTTGGATTCTCTTCCCTTAACTCTTCGCCAGGGACGACAGGAAAGGTTTCGTCTGGAATGATAATTGGCTTGTGTGTTTGAGCAATTACAGGTGTGACAATAGAAACATGATACCATATGCGTTATCTCACAAGATTGCAAGCATCATTCTTGGAAAAGGAAGGTTCCAGACAGATCAGACTAAAATCCAGGTAGTCCTGCATAATTTTGTCCTATGGTGGTGAACCAGATAATCTAGCAGCCAGACAAAGCAGGGAATAAACCAACAGCTCCCCAACTTTGTCTTTTTTCCCCTGCATCTTATATTCACAGGTGCTCCTGTTCTAGACAGTCATTCCTGTCCTGTCCAAACAGGGTGTTTTCCCCCACTGTGTTTTATCCTCTTTCTCCAGTGGCTCCAGTGCCTTGGGCTTTTAGGGAGGGCATCCCCTCTCCTTTAGATTTTTCTAAATATGCTTTATATTTCTAACCAATTCCTTGGGGTGGTTCCATGAGCTTGTTGTTACCTCCTTTTCAAGTGTGAATGGTACCATCTTGGCTACATAAACAATTGTACTCACAAATGAGTACAATGTACAGATGCATATGAATCAGCTCTGAAGCAGCATCTTACATCAACATCAGCATCTCACATCATTCCAGAGGATGTATTGTATATAGAATGCCTTTCCCCCACTAGTTATAAGTGAAATAAAACGTTTTCTTTATACATTCAACCTATCTTACAAAATCTAAGAGGAAAAAAATAAGTTAAAAAAACAATTCATTCACAAAGAAAATGGACCTCAGATAAAACACAGTTGAAAAAATACATAACTCAAGAATGTATTTCAATGACAAATAAAGTCATACAACCAGAAGATCAAACAAGCCCTCTGCCTATTCATTATACATTCAAGTTGCAAAAATAATTATTTTCTTTCAAAGAGTCTATTCATCAAAACAAAGTCAAACATACAGTAGTTTCATAAACTCAATAAATTGGGAGAAGGGATTATTATGTTAGATATCAAAATATGGAGATACATGCAAATCTTTGAAGAGTTTTTCATCACAGTATTCTAATGTGAACAAAAAGCAAGCTAAATGCTAAAAGCAGGAGTGCGAAGTTCTTTTTTAGTCTTGGAGCAAAACTTTAAAAAATGGTGGAAAGGCCACCTTTCAACTGTGGGTGGGCCTAAGACTATGGGACAGAGGAGATGGAGTCAAAATATTGTGAGTGACATCAGATGTAATTCTTAAAGGTAAAGGTAAAGGTTCCCCTTGACAATTTTTGTCCAGTTGTGTTCGACTCTAGGTGGCGGTGCTCACCCCCGTTTCCAAGCCATAGAGCCAGCGTTTGTAGCAGGAGTGCGAAGTTCTTTTTTAGTCTTGGAGCAAAACTTTAAAAAATGGTGGAAAGGCCACCTTTCAACTGTGGGTGGGCCTAAGACTATGGGACAGAGGAGATGGAGTCAAAATATTGTTAGTGACATCAGATGTAATTCTTACCCAGGTGATTATTTCCTCACCATGCATGTAAAATCCTGTCTATTCAGGATTGTCTCGATGCCACTTGTTTCCTGTCTGCAAAGCACAGTTCAGTTCTGTGAAATTGCATTCTTTCCAGCAAACCACAGCTCAGTTTTAAGTAGAACACTGAAACTTTAAGTACCTTTAGTTCTAGCCAAGGAGACAAGACCAAGCTCATTCACACTCTCGTATTTCTGATCACCATGTATGTGAGCGTTAAAGCCTGCCAGTAAATTCCTGGCTTGTGCGGCTGATAAATTTCTCCTACAAAAAGTGGAGAAATAAACTAGAGGATTTGCTATCCTTGATTTGTGATTATTTCCTCACCATGCATGTAAAGGCTGTCTATTCAGGATTGTCTCAGTGCCACTTGTTTCCTGTCTGCAAAGCACAGTTCAGTTCTGTGAAATTGCATTCTTTCCAGCAAACCACAGCTCAGTTTTAAGTAGAACACTGAAACTTTAAGTACCTTTAGTTCTAGCCAAGGAGACAAGACCAAGCTCATTCACACTCTCAGATTTCTGATCACCATGTATGTGTGTGAAAGCCTGCCAGTAAATTCCTGGCTTGTATGGCTGATAATTTTAAACCACAGCTTTAAGTAGAACACTGAAACTTTAAGTACCTTTAGTTCTAGCCAAGGAGACAAGACCAAGCTCATTCACACTCTCAGATTTCTGATCACCATGTATGTGTGTGAAAGCCTAGCCTGCAATTCCTGGCTTGTATGGCTGATAATTTTCTCCTACAAAAAGTGGAGAAATAAACTAGAGGATTTCCTATCCTTGATTTGATTCTGACCAACAGAGATGACTCGGTTGGGGAAGTGGCAGTAAGGGGAACTCTAGGTGAGAGTGACCATGTTCTTCTAGAATTCTTGATTTCAAAGGAAACTAAAGCAGAGTGTAGCCATACACATCTGCTAGATTTTTAAAAAGCCAATTTTAATAATCTCAGAACAAGTATAAGTAAGGTTGCATGGCAGGAGATCCTAACAAGAAAAGGAGTCCAAGAAGGGTGGGAGCTTCTTTAAAAAGAAATTCTAAAGGGATAACTACAAACAATTCCAACAAGAAAAAAGGGTGAGAGGCAGCAAGAAAGGCCAGTGTGGTTTCACAAAAAGCTCAGGGAGGACCTAAAAACCAAAAAAAGAGAGAGAGATGTACAGGAAGTGGAAAGAAGACTAGGCCACCAAGTATAAGTAGAGACAAGTAGCAAGGAAATGCAGAGCTGGCATTAGGATGGCAAAAGCTGAGAATGAGCTGAGGTTAGCTAGGGAGGAGACACTAAAAGCAATAAGAAAGCATTCTTCAAGTATGTGAGTAGCAAAATACAAACAAAAGACATAGTGGCATAGCTCCGCAATGGAGATGGAAAAAATGGTAACAGAGGACAAAGAAAAGGCAGAGGTGCTCAATTCCTATTTTAGTTGAGTCTTTTCCCATAAGACGGACTATGAACTTCTAAACAAATTGGAAGTGCAAGTTGGGGGGGACAGGATTGCAGTTGGAGATTGATAAATCCAGGAATACCTTATCACCTTGAATGAATTCAAACCTCCAGGACCGGACGAACTGCATCCAAGAGTATTATTATTATTATAGAGACACTAGTATCAATAAAACTCCTGGGCCCGGTGCTCTTCAATAGTTTTCTTAATGACTTGGATGAGGGACTGCAGGGAATGCTTGACAGATCTGCAGATTATACCAAATTGGGCGGAATAACTAATACCCTAGAAGACAGAAACAAAATTCAAAATGACCTTGATAGGATGGAGCACTGGGCCGAAAGCAACAGAATGAAATTCAGTAGGGAGAAGTGCGAAGTACTACACCTCAGAAAAAGAAACCAATTGCACAGTGGGGAAACTTGGCTCATTAATGCTATGAGCAAGAAGGATCTTGGAATTGTTGTAGATCACAAGCTAAATATGAGCCAACAGTGTGATGTGGCTACAAAAAAAAAGGCAAATGTTATTTTATGCTGCATTAATAGAAGTATAGTTTCCAAGTCCTGCAAGGTGCTGGTCCCCCGCTATTCAGCACTGGTTAGTTCTCACCTTGAGTATTGTGTCCCGTTCAGGACACCACACTTCAAGAAGGATGCTAACA